TGAGGGCGTCAGGCCAGCAGCATGCCAGTCCTGGGGTACAAGACCAAATCCCCCTTCCCGAGTCCCTTCAACGTTGTAATCCACTTAACCCACCCTCTCCCATCATGGAGAGGGAGGCTCCTCCACTGTCACCCACAGCCTGCGGGCCCTGGGGCGGGAGACAGAAGAACATTAGACAGAGGGCGGCAGGTCGAGGGACCCTGGGGCGAATGAATGTTGGAACCCATCTCCAGGGTGTGTCTCCGGACCACTTCCCCATTCTGAAAACTCCTCACCGGTTCTCGGAAACCCACAGAGACTGCGCACCAAAACCAAGTGGTAGAAAGGGCGTGCCACCTGGGCATCCTCCACAGATGCTCCTCGCCTGCCTCTGCCCTCCCATCCCCTCTCCCTCCTCCACGCTGGAGCCCCTCCCAGGGACGGCCATCTCTCCTTGCCCCTACTATCCCAGGGAAGACAGGGCCAAGCCTGGCCCAGGCCAGCCTTAGCCTGAAATTGAACATGCCCCAGTCAGACGCTAAGGACACTAAAGGAAAGGCAGAAAAGGCAGGCAGGGCCAACCAAGAAGGTCCCGAGGCCAAGGCTAGAAGTCAGGGCTGGTCCCCAGAGAACCTATCACGGCAGGGGACGGCGGGTGCTGGGGTTTTTAGTGGAAGTGGAAGGTGATCAGTGGTGACAATGAGGATGGACTGGTGAGGGCCAGGTGGGAGGAAGCGGTCTCTATCCAAGGGCCTGAAGGAAGGCAGCGGTAAGAGCAGGGGCTCAGAGGCAGTCGGGTGAACAAGGGCTTGGTGGGGGGTGGTGGAAGGACACAGGTGGCAGTCTAGAGGTGCAGAAGACAAAGAGCTTGGACAAGCTGCAGCGGCTCGAAGGCTCCGCAGGCGCACATGTGCAGAAGCGCACCTAGGGATGGAGACAGGATTTCAGGGGAGTTAAGGTTACGCGAGTGGACGGGGTCATCTGGCGACAGAGTGCTAAGGCCCAAGAGCCATCCTTTAAAAATGTACAAGGAAGACTCAGCGAAATTTTTAAGTGGGAAGAAAACCAGGACTGCAGCAAGAACAAAAGAGCATAAAAGAAGTCAAAGCACTCTCTGCCGGAGCAGAGCGATTGCCCATTAAAAAGAACAGAATGGAGCCATCTTTTACAAAGGCGAACGCCAAACATAAACTACCCAGCCTGCCAAGTGCCTCGCACAGAACAGAGGGTTTCAAAAGCGTTTCCTAAGTGCACGCTGCAGGAAGGTGATCTGCTCGGCAAAGTGCATGTCTGACACTGTCTGGTCAAGCGTCTCAGACACCGCTGGTTCGCGATGCACCGTCCGGGACTCCTGGGAAAAACGCTTCTCAAGAAGTGATAGGCTGTCATTTGTATAAAATTTAATAATATGCAAAACATCTTCTATCTTGGTTATGGGTTCATACATATGTATTAATCGTTTCAAATCACGCCTTAGGATGATAAACACAAGGTTAATGAGAGTGCTTACTTCTGAGAGGGGGAAAATGGGAAGGCATACACAGGTGACTACTACTATATCTAAAATTATCTTTCTAAAAAAAAAAAAAAAAACGTGAACCAATAACTCCGAGTAATATCTGAATGTTACTTGGTCTTGCTCTGGGTAGAGAATGCAGGGTCAGCATAATGACTGAGGAAAATTAACCTGGTGACAAGAGCCTCAGAGGCTCGGAAAGCGAAACAGAATGTCTGAGGGAGGCCTGTGCTGGATTTGGCAATCAGGAGTCACAAGGGGCGAGGGCGGAAGGGGAGCCAGAGTACTATGGAAGGCTGAGGAATTAATGAGATTCGACGAAATGGAGACAACTCTTCCTTTGCCAATGAAGGGCAATAAGACAACAGCGTAGGTGCCTAAGCAGAGCGCGGACGTTTTGCTGGCTTGACTACCCCGTTGTCCTGTGAACTGGATGAGGAGCGTTACACACAGAGAACGGAGAAGGGGAGAGGGTGAATATGAGGCGGAGGGAGAGACGACAATGGAGCAGTAAACACCCTAGTGCTCTGCTCTGCAGTCAATACACACTCGTTTCTCTGGTCTCACGAAGTAGACACTGGTACCCTGTTTAAAAACATGGAGGCACAGAGAGGTTGAATAACTCTCCCAGGTTCACACGGCTGGTAAGTGGCAGTCTGGCCTGAGTCAGGAAAACGACTGCAAGCCCTGGAGAAAAGTGGGAGAAGAGATCCAGCCCCTGGGGCCAGAGGATCTGTCCTAGGGGCAGAAGGATGCCTCTCTCTGGGGCGGCGGTGGGGGGTGGTAGTGGTGGAGGTAGGAGGCCTCTTTCAGTAGGTCTTTGGGGGTGGAGGAGAAGAAAGCTAAAAGGACTCTTAAAAGGCTTGGCTCTCAGGGGTGAGGCCTTAGGAGTGACAACGGATTGGAAGAGCTGGTTCTGGAGGTAGGAAAACAAGCTCCTGAAGAATACATAAAAGGGCCACGAAACAAGCAGCCCAGAGGAGGAACACTCACAGTTCTGGGGGAACGGGTTCCTGGCAGGTTCTGGGTTTCCTCTAGCAACCCTGTGGCCTGGAGCAGGACCAGAAATGAAGAAAAGGTGGGACCAGTAGTTGGCGTCATGGCTACGTCGCTAGACTCCCAGGTAGTCAACTGCAGTTCGAGTCCCGGACCTGGCGGCTTAAACTCATGCCGGGCGCGTGTGCGTGTGTGCCCAAGATCCCGAGAGGAGAATGGAGAAGGGACTGCGGCATGGCCATCCCCCCCAGGAGGTGGCTTCCACTTTCTGTCTCTCTGTCTCTTTCTGTCTTTCTGGCAAGCGCACGTACCTTATAGTAAAAAAAAACCTCTCCAAAAGAAAGAAAGAAAGAAAGAAAGAAAGAAAGAAAGAAAGAAAGAAAGGAAGGAAGGAAGGAAGGAAGGAAGGAAGGAAGGAAGGAAGGAAGGATAAACTGTCCTGAGGGCGGGGCAGAAGAAAGCTCCAGCCTGGCATGGGGATCTCAAGGTTGGTCCTCCTCGAGAAGTGGAGCAGAGGACACTGAGCCACAGATGAGCTTCAGAAGAGGGGCTGCTGTGCTCCACCTCGTGGGGCCCCTCTGCTCCCTCAGAATCTTCCCTGACCACCAGTCCAGCCATCCTGGCCCCCTCAATCCCATCCCAGCCTTACAGAATCGCCTTCCTCCAGTCACCTCCCAGGTGTCTGTCTTGCTTCTCCAAAGAAATTCTTAAAAGAAACATGATCTCTCAGAAACCTCAGCAGACGAGGCTCCCGAACATGGGCCAGAGTGGGCCCAGGGGGAGTAGCTTCACCTTCCCCTGTGACGGCTTGGACCTACACTTGAGGCTGGGTCTGACACAGAGGCCATCAAGTAGGGAGCCCTGTGCTGGAACAAGGGCTCCATCCATGCCCCCTCAGCAGTGCAGGAGTTTGGGGGTGATTCTTGGGGGGAGAGGCCTACCTATCACTCGTATTACCCTCAGGGCTAGGGGCCACAGAGTTGGGGGCCACCTATCAGGAGATCTGGCCTCATGAAACCTCCATGTCCTCAGGTTGTGGTTTAGGAGACAGCAGAAGATGCAGATCCTAAGGAAAGGCCTCAGAGTCTCAGTGTGACTGGGGGGCCTCAGACTAACTGGCCTGACCCATTAGCACCCCACCCCACCCCCCCAGGCCCTCAGCTATACAGGGGGATGAGCACCAAGGACAGCAGGCCACTGTTGAGGCCCAGGGGTGTGCACGCACTGAGCCTTACAGCTGAGCCACCATCCCAGTCACGGACAGCATAAAACCAGGCACCATTTCCAGAAATTTATTGGAAACACGATACAAATTGATTAGATGGCATCTCCTGACAGACAGACAGTCCACACTGGGATGTCACGCTCAGACGGATCGTCCTGGGGACGCTTGTGAGCACCGCCGCATGCTCTGGGTAAGTGCTCGCTGGCTGGGAGAACCAGAGACGTGAAGAATGGGACAGGGAGACAGAAAACCGGGGCAACTGTGAAGAATAAGGGCTCTCCCCTTCACCCCTGAAAGCACATTACTTTCTAGGCAAGTAAAATAGAAACTACAAAAACCCCGGGGCAGCTTCCATCTACCCTCACCAAAGCCTCAGGACATTGCTGGGCTCGGCAAGACCACAGGCTGGGCTCCCCCTCAGACCCACCCCTCACCTGTCCTTCCCTACGCTGTGAGCCTGCAGGGGGCCCATCCCAGGCTCCCAGGCACTCACTTCCAGGAGGCCTTAGCTGTAGAACTCTGGAGGGCCAGGAGAAGGAGAAAGTCAGCTCTTCCTCCCATCTCTGCTCGGGGCCGTGCCTCCTCATGCTCCCGCTCCCACCAGATAGGCCCTCTGTGGGCCCTGGACTCAGGGAACACGGCCTCCCCGGCGTGTCCCGCCAGCCCCGGGTGGTGGTGGCTTCCTCCCGTTATTCCCTATCCCTGCTGCCCCTCACCCATTTCACCGCTCGACTTCATCTCTGTTAAGTGAATCTCTGGACTAAACCCCACTGTTCCTCCACACCAAAGACTTACTTATTTAATTTAATTTAATTTTTTTTAATTTGACCAGAGAGAGAAAGGGAAGGTGAAAGAGCAAGCCACCAGGTCCAGGCCTCGGACCATAGTTGGCCATGTGGGGAGTCCAGTGCCCCAACCACCACGCCTCCTGCCAGCCTCAACCCCATTGTTTTAAAAATGTAGTGGTTTCTGTTTCCTGGCTGGGCCCTGAGCAACAGAATCTGGGCTGTGGACAATGCAAACTGTAAGAGCGCAACTCGCCCTGCCTGTCCTCTCTCACGGACCTTTAGGAAATCCAAGTAGGTGGGCAGGCAATGGCCAGAGGGAGTGAGGCGGCGCCTGGCAGAGCGTCTGTGTCCTCATGGGGAGCACGGTGCCACGGGATGATGACCACAGGCCGTGCAGACAGGCTCTGCATGCCCACCCACCAGCTCACTGAACGCTGCAGCCCGAGGACGGGGTGGTTGGGGAACCCTCTCAGCACCGATTGCTTGGAACGGCAATTGCAAGGAATAGAGCCCTGGGGTCCCGCCTTCGTCCTGCAGTATTCCATCAGAATGCAGGGACTGTGAAGAGCTGAGTGAGAGGAGACATCTTAGTTCCCACCACCTCCATGGGAGGATGGTGCTCAGAACCAGAAGCTTTGCTAACTAGGTGAACCAAGAGCCTTCCTGGAGCTAGTCGCTCAAAACCAGCGGCACTTTCCCCAAAGCTATCTGCCACCTGGGTGGGAGAGGGCCTCCCTGCTCTTCCTTCAGACCTGGCCTCGCCTGGTCTCCAGGTCTCCTGGACCTGAGTTACACGGCCCCTCCCGACAGGCAGAGAACAAGCTGGCCACAGTCATAATCCACAGTCACTGTTTAAGCAGGTTGTGAGAGGAATGGGAGTGGGTGAGGAACCATTTCCCCTGTGTGTCCCTGGGCCACGGTGAACCCAGGGCAGGAGCACAGACAGCTTCCATGCATCCTATTGTTTAGAGAACTCCCACCCTACCCCACCCCATGATGTGTGACCTGGAGAGCCAGCCGCAGCCTCCTCATAGCCAGCCAAGGCCTCCTCCTGGCGGGCACCCTGGGGAGTGCCCGGGCCCTCCTGTCTCACTGAGGACCTCTGATACAGGCTCCACCACAGGAGCCATGCCAAGACCCAGCACAGCTCCAGTCGGCAGTGGTGGAAATGCCCCTAGTCACCCCCTTGGAGGAGAACCAGCTCCTCCGCAGAGGAAGAATCAAGAGGACAGGTTGCTCGAGTTCTGAGCCCGCGGCCATCATGCCACATCGCCATGGAGCTGCACCCAGCTCCCAGGACATGGCCACCTGAGAGTCATCATCACTTCTGTGCTATCTCACTCTTCCTGGGTGGGGTGAGCACAGTGGTAGCCACTCTGTTCTGCGACAACCTGGCTGTCTGGGACACTGGTATCAGGGTCCCCCACCTCCAAAAAGCAGTCCAGCAACCCTGAAGACACCCTGTGGCTCCATACCCTGCGGCCTGTCCCTGCAAATGGAGGGGGCCTCCAGGGCACAGAGTCATTCCTACCCCTGCAGCTGCAAGCACAGTGCAGCAGACTGGCTGTGACCAGATGTGACACCACCAGGGGCCGTGCTGAGGGCAGACAGAGGAGCCGGGCTGCTGGAGCAACCAGCGTCCAGGGGCCTGGCACTGGGGCAGGGGGTGGTTATAGATACAGACCCCTCCCAGAAACACAGTTCTCTCACATCACCCTCCAGGCAGATAGGGTCTCCCTGCTGAAAACCACATGGGGTGATTACCAATCCGAGCTAGGACGCACCTGGCCACACTTGCTCGCTGGCTGGCTCAGCTGTAGGGAACACGGCATAAGCAAATGGCTTGTCACAGTGATACGCACGCTTGGCACAGCAATACCCTGCTCCTGCCGGAGCTTCTGGGACCACGCGGAGCCAAGCAGAACACCAGCCTCTCTCCCGCACCAAAATACAGACAAAAAGAGTGTACAGGTTTAGCAAAGACAACGATATTCTGTCAGAACCTCAGGAATTCTACACCTTGGAGGAGTAGGAGAGGGACTCAGATACAGGGTGCAGAGGGTGAAGAAAAAAATCTCTCCACCACAAAAATAAAGTACAAAGGCTATAGAGAAAAAAAGGCCAAGTGATAGTAACAGCAAGGATGGAGAAATACCATGAACTGCGTAAGCCCTGGCCCGTTGCTTAAAAAAATCTGTTCAGAAAGATGGCACGTCCCTCCTGTACATAATTACACAGCATCAAACGGAGCTGCACTGACACATGCAGGCCAGAGCGGCTCTGAGCCCTGGCGGTCCTCAGCCCCAAGGAGCTGCTGTTTTGGGGGTATGGGGTGCTACAAAGGGAGTGGCTCCCTACCCACCCACCCCATTCCTAGGCAGGTCCTGCTCTGGGACAGCAAGGTCTCTGAGAGGAAAACGAGGTGCCACTGATTCACACGTGGAGACGCCGCTTTCAGAACGCACACTCCTACAGTCTCTCCCCCTGCCCCATCCAGTCTCCATGGGGTGCGCGTGGAGGTCTCCCACTGAAATGTACTGGGAAGGGGGCTGCCTCCGTCCCAGGCACGGGTGTGAGCATCAGCAGGACAGTGCAGCGAGTCTTGGGTTGTAGGATGAGAGAGGGATAGCTCAGTCTGACACACGGCACGTGAGTTCTGGAAAGGGAAAAAAGGGTCAAGGTTAAAGGAGTCCCAGCAGTGGAGGCCAGAAGACAAGGAGGATGGGAGCAGCCCTCCCACCAACTTCACTGCGTTCGGGGAACAGAGGCCTGGCATCAATCTGAATCAGAGCTCACATTGTACTTTAAGGCTGGTCCACAGGGAAAAATCGGGGCCAAGAAAACATAGGAATGAGACAGAAGCATCACAGAAAGCCGGGTGCTGGGTAGGCAGGGTTCGCGGTGCCTGGTGAGGTACTACAGGCTACCGGGCACTGCTTACATGGCTACCAACAGACTGCGCGGAACTCCAACCGACATGAAGGAATGGGTAACACGACTGGCCTGGAGGAGGCACGATCCCATCTGAGGCCACATGATTAATTATAAGGATGTGGCACTCATAGGCTACAAACAGGGTTTTTGTAGGAAGGGAGTGGACCTCAACCCCACAGTGTCACAGGGTCAGAAACTGTTCCTATGCCCCTCACTCTCATCCTCTCCACTTCCCCCAAAACCTTCAATTCTCCTGTGCCTGTGCTGGGCACCTGGAGACTCTCAAGAGGAATGAGCAAAGAAAAAGCAAAAGCGGCCTGCAGACCATGTCATCACCCTTTCGTATCACTCTGTACAACCTACAGAGTGTAGGCTGTAAAGCCTTTGACTTGGGAAAAGAGGCTAGGAGGGGCCTGGAGGCTGTTCACGGGGATGGGCTAAGCTGCTGAGGGTCTTGCCCACCATGCACACCACTCCACACCCGGAGAACGGTCCAGGGACACTCACTTCACAGCTTCAACCACCGTGAGGAAAGGCTGCAGGATGGAGCAGAGCTGTGTGAGCCTTTCCGGAATAGAGAGGATACACATGCACAGCCTGGTGTTTGATGTGGGCTCATAGATACATGTTAAGAATCTACATAAATTCAGTTTAGAAAACAGGCTAACCTTTGCTTTATTGAACCTACTGTAGGTTATATAAGTGCCTTATTTAATCATCACCAGGACACCGGGAGTATTAGAAAGGCTAGGAATTTGCTCAGAGTCACACAGCCCGGTAAGAGTATAGTATCCTCTTTAGTATCTAATTTAAGATTAAATATGTATGTGCCAATGTCTCTTAGGAGCCTCTCTTCGGGGGATGGGAGGAGAGTCTGGGAGAAGTGTCATTCATTTGTTCAAAACCCTATGGGGGGGAACCAGCAGTTAGCGTAATGGCTATGTCACTGGACTCCCACATAGTTGACCGCAGTTCCAGTCCCGGACCCGGTGGCTTAAAACTCACGCCAGGCGCGTGTGCGTGCGTGCCCAAGATCCCGAGAGGAGAATGGAGGAGAAGGGATTGCAGCGTGACCATCCCCCCTGGGGGGTGATTTCTCGCTTTCTGTCTCTATGTCTCTCTCTGTCTGGCGAGCGCACGCGCCCTATAGCGAAAACCTCTCCAGAAAGTATACCTCTTTTAGGCAATGAGATTCTTCAGATCAAGAGCTAGACCTTTGAATGCCAGCCACTAATACTACATCAAACACATAATGACTGCTCAGTAACTGTGTTTAACCACTGAGATTCAATAAATACATTCCTGGTATTATTTTTAGTTTTCTGTTTGATTTTCAAGTAATGATGCTTTTTCCTCAAGCTCATTCCTTCTGAACTCTTGAACTGCTTTCTTCATATTCAATTCCTGAGAGAGATTTCTGCAAAGCTGCTAAAAGATGTGCAGCGTAACTACCCAAAATACGTAGGTTTAAATTTTTAAAAATATATTTTATTTTTTTATTGTCCAAACATTTTCTTCACCTAGTTGAGATCAATGACTGAATAATTGAATAAAATGGTAATAAATGTATTTAAATGATGGTTACATATGTATCACTGCCTTTATTAAATACTACACTTCCTTGCTTTTTCATGCTTTATGAATTTTTTAAAACAATTATTTAATTTTATTTGTTGTTGTTATTATTTCAGTTTGCTACATAGCATGTGTGCTCACTAGAGAAAGGGAGAAAAAGAAAGTGAGAAAGCAATCTGCCAGGTCTGGGACTTGAACCATGGTCTGCCATGTGGGAGTCCAGCCCCTTCACAACCATGCTATCTGCTGGTTCCATATTAATCTTTCTAAGTTTGTTTGCTTATTAGTTAGTTAATTTATTTATGTATGTATATACGGGAAATGAGAGAGTGGAAAGAGAAAAAAAATCCCTATGGAATTAGTTCACCTGATAAAAATAGCCACTTGTAAAAGTGTTCTAAGTTTCTGACCTGTCACGGTCAATTATGCCTTTATTTGTACTGAACTTACCTGCCCCAGCTTCTGAAGCAACCCTCTCCTCCTAATGGCTAAGGATGTGGTGTCCAGGCTCGCATATCTGCCTTCTCCACACTGGCCATGGTTTTAAGCTGAAATATGGTTTTTAAGTTCATCTCTGCATTCTAGGCTGAAGAATCCCAGCACGTGCTACCTATCCTTACAAGGATGTCACTCCATCTTCACCATTCAGAGCTTCCCCGGCCCCAGTGCATTTCCTGGGTACGAGGAACAAGACACAAGACTGCAGATACAAAGGCCCCCAGCATAGTGGCACAGCAAAAGGCCAGGGAAAGGTCTATGCTCAGGTCTCCCTCCTAGACCACAATATAGTCCAAGTCATTTCCACTTTTGTTTATTTATTCTCAAATGCATTAATCTTTATTTACCACTTTTGTATATACTGTTTCATAAGCATTTATTTTGTTTTGTTTTTTGCAAAATGTTTCCTATTAGTTTGACTAGAACTTAAAGATTCTTCTCTCTAATAAACCTACGTAATGAAAGCTACATTTTTTGAAGTTTCTGGCAGCTGGCTTTTGAGTTAAGTTTTCTTACCTTCTAAAAATCAGAGAAGAAACCACCATCAGAATTTGGAGGCTGGAAAGCAGATAAATGGGTGATAATAGACTATGCACTCAAGAAAGTCAGACTCGAAGCTGACAGTGTGGAAAGTAAAAAACTTGATTTGTCCATAGAATACAAGGGGCTCAGGAATGACACCAGCGACCACTGGAAGCAGGGAGGGGGACCAAAGGCTGTTTGAGAAGCAGCTGGATCCCAGAAGGAACTGTCTCTTCCCGACTAGTGTAGATGTTTGTTTGTTCTCTGAAGACGGAACAGTGCCTGGGACACCAGGCACCAAGCACAGCTGAAGGCAGGGCCACCAATTCCAACACAGATGGATCGAGTGAGCATATATGCCTACTTAAATGGTGAGCCTCCAGCCTGCTTCCCAGGGAGCTCCTAGAACACAGGCAGCCAAACCTGTACCTTACGGGGAAGAGAGAGGGAGAAACTTCTCTGAAGAATATGACCAGCTCTTATGAAAAGAATGGAAGACACTGGCATTTGGGACTGTCCAATAACCTGCCAACTCAATCGCCCTTCTGTGAAGTGCTCCACCCACAATCACAAGCACAGAGCTTCTGATCTGATTTTTAGTCTCCTACTCTTAAATATTGTTAGACAACAAAGTTTACCAGAAAAAAAAAACAAACAAAAAAACAAAACAAAACAAAACAAAACCTCTAACACAAACATAAGAGACCAAAACAAACAAGAGAACCAGACATGGTGGCACACTGCTGTGCACCTATGATTCCAGCTACTTGGGAGGCTGAGTCAGGAAAGTCATAAGTTTGAAGCCAGCCTGGGCAATCTAGCAAAATCGAGCATCGAAATAAATAATAACAGAATGCAAATTGGAGGAAAAAGACTATTTAGAGAAGAAAACTTAAAAACAAACAAAAAAAAAAACACTGTAATTAATATCCCCAGAAAAGTAATGAAAGATATGGTGTTCATGGAACATAACCAGCATGTTATTTTTCCAAAATTGAGAGAATCAAGGGGAGAAACGTCCACAGAAGGACCGAAGGGTTCTGCATCTTATCACGGTAGGCTAATTTATATTGGACTAACCCTCTAGTCAGTAACATTAATAAATTTCACACAAAGTATTACAAAAAAAAAAAAAACTGAAGGTACTGGACAGGAGCCCAAATCGGGCAAAATTACGGGAGTCATGACCCTGGAAAAAGGTGAAACTAGATGAGAGCCACTCTTAACTGGCTTCTCCTGTAAGCACTTCCACACAGTACAAGAAGAATATAGCTCAGGCATAAGGTTGATAGCCTACCTGGGCTGAGGAATCAGAAGTCAGAGTTCAAGGCTGCCAATGTAGCTGGAAATTGAGGGAGAGGATCCTAGAAAGGAAAGAGACACAGAAAGGAGAACCCTCAAATCATTGGCTGATTTCTGAACTATACATGCACAGGGTGAGACTCTAATTCTACGTCAGCTGGAAGGCTACGGAGCTGAGCAGCAAAGTCAGCCGCCCAACACCCAACAGAGTTTAGTTCAAGTTCTGCCAAGTTAGAGGAGCTTAGTAAACACCTGGTCTTTCCATAGAAATCCTATGGGGACTAAGAACAAAACTGAAATAAACAAGCCTTAGTAAAGCTTGAAACCAAGACTTCACAGGACCAAAGTAATCTGCCAATTAATTGCTTCCTAGAACAAAACTCAACACTCTTCAGAGGAAAATAACAGAATTCATACTGGCTGGTATTCATTTAAAAATTATCAGACATGGGACCAGCAGTTGGCTTAATGGCTATGTTGCTAGACTCCCACGTAGTCGCCTGCAGTTTGAGTTGCAGACCCAGAGGCTTAAACTCACACCAGGCACATGTGCGTGCATGCCCAAGATCCCAAGAGGAGAATGGAAGAGAAGGAATTGCAGTGTGGCCATCCCCCAGAGGGGTGATTTCTCCCTTTTTGTCTCTCTGTCTCTTTCAGGGAAGCGCACGTGTCCTATAGCAAAAACCTCTCAAAAAAAAAAAACCTAATAACTAAAAAATATAAATTCTACAACAAAAAATTTGCTGGATGAGATTAACAGCAGATTTGATTTTCAAAACAGTGGATTTTAAGACAGAACTCAAAATTTATTCAAAATGACAATTAGTGTCCATCCACATAAAATCCTGGAAAGTATAGATGGCTCTGTGTAACATGAAACACATCAGGCCCAGACACTGGCACAGGCACTAGCATGCTGCCCTGTACTGTGGAAGCCACATGGCCAACGAGGGCTCAGATCCCAAGGCAGCTTGAAACACACCAAATACACCTGATCAAGATTCTGACTGGCTGGAGTGCTAGAGGAAGGGGACAGTGGCCTGAAAGGGTCTTCCCTGTTGAGGGTGCCTGTCTGTCTGTCTCTCTCTCATTTTCTCTCTCTCAATCTTTGCCTCTCACATTCACTCTAAAATAAATTTAAAAACACACATATACAGATCAGTGGTCATCTAGGAATAAGGTGAGGGAAATGGGGTGGGATAAGAGGAAGGAGTATAAAAAACTACAGGAAAATGTTTGAGGTTAATGGAAAAGTATTATTTTGATTGTGGTGACAGTTTCTTCTTGGTTTATGTATATGTGTATATATGTCAAAACCTAAACTGCACGTTTCAAATATATACGATTTGGTGAATTACACTACACCTTAAGAAGCTATTTAAAAAACAAATATTGTGGCCAGAAGGTGCTGTAGTGGTTGGGGCACTGAACTCCCACAGGGCTGACAGCGGTTCAAGTCCTGGTCCAGGCAGCTTGAAACTCACACCGGGTACATATGTGTGCATGCCCAAAATCCTGAGAAGAGAAAGGAGGACAATAGACTGAGACATGGCATCCCCCTCAAGGGTAATTTCTCATTTGTTCTCTCACTGTCTCTCTCTCTCTTTCTGGCAATTGCATGCACCCGATGGCAAGAACTTAAAAAGAAAAAAGGCAGCTTCTCAGGTACCTTTTTAGTAACTCTATATGAGTTCTCTTCAAGCTCATTAATCACTTTCATGGTCATTTATATGTAAATAGTTATTGATATAAATAAACATTTGGTCAAGGGAGAAAAAGTCTAGATTATAACTTTTTATAGAGAACTAAATCATTTAGAAGGGAAAATAGGAAAGGGAAAGAAAACAACAGGCAGAGTCGAGAAGCTTAAAATGAACTCGGTGAGCATTTCCAAATCAATCAGATTGTGACAAACCCTTCCTTTTCCATTGCCCTGGGCCTCCACAGATCAGAAGGCTTCTCCTCACTTCTTCAGAGACCCAAAGAGATTGTTCTGGGGGATGCCTCAGTCAAGCCTTATTGGTCTTTCCTTCTCTGAGGCAGTAAGACCCAACATATTGATATACTAATATCCCAATGGCTTTCTCTGTGCCTGCTCTTTTGACAAATGAGTCAAACTTCTAAGTCAAACCCTCTTCTCTAGGACCTAAGTTGCTTCCTCTGCTGTCTTCTTCCCTTTCCTTTCCCAAATATCTACTCTCAGCCCACAGCAAACACACACACACACACACACACACACACACACACACAAACTTGAGACCTAGCTCCCAGAGGTTCACTTTCCTTCTCAGAGCTTACCTTCTACTCATCACTGAGAATGGTAAAATGTAAGGAAGGTTGGTTAAAAAGATTTTGTAGACCAGCAGGTGGCACAGAGATTGAGGCTGGATCCCATGTGGTCAACTGAAAGGTTGGAGTCCAGGACCTGGCAGCTTAAAATTCACACTGGGCGCATGTGTATGCATGTCCAAAATCCCAAGAGGAGAATGAAAGAGAAGGGATTGTGGCATGGCCATACTCCTTGGGTGGTGATTTCTCACTTTACCTCTCTCCTTTTCTCTCTCTCTCTCTCTCTACCACTCTCTGGAGAGTGCTCATACCCACATACCCTATAGAAACCTTAATATTGTAGCAGTTATGTCACTAGATTCCCACACGGCCAGCCATGGTTCAAGTCCCAGACCTGGTGGCTTAAAAATCATGCTCAGTGCATGTGTGTACGTGCTCAAGATCCCAGGAGGAGAATGGAGGAGAAGGGATTGCAGCATGGCCATCCCCCTTGTGGAGTGATTTCTCACTTTCCTTCTCTCTCTGTTCTCTCTCTCTGGCTCTCTCTCTCTCTCTCTCTGGTGAGTGCACATGCCCTAAGGCAAAAACATCTAAAAAAAATTAAAAGAAAAAATTTCCTGTAGTGACCTCTGAAGTAAACAGAGACACTTGCTGAGAAAGTGCATTGATCCTCAGCAACTACCATGGACTTCTGCCACTCTTCCAGGAACATACTGCTGAGGGGCATCTCAAGTTCAGACCTCTTGGGGGCTCATGTACTGGTATTTCTCTCAGGAATGAGACAGACATACTTTCTGGAAGAAATGTGTGATATTAATAAACCCATAAATGGTACCACTGGTGGCTGATCTGGCATTCCTCCAGAATATTTCAAAACACCGAGCTGTTGACAAGTCCTGTCTAATGCAGTTAGGTCTGTCTTCCTCTTCAATCTCAACCCATGACTTCATCGACTGAGAGAACATCACTGTCCTTTGACAACACTTCAGTGGTCCCAATGCCCTCGACACTTCAGGTGCTCTACTAAACTGCTTTATGTTCAATACACCCTGGAGCCAGAATGGTCCTTTATATATATGTATATACAAATTCAATATATTTCACTCGGTTATGACACTACACTTTGAGGCAAAGAGACCACGGGAGAGTTTAGGGAGACCCGATGTTCCTCCATGAGCAATGTTTTTAGAAGATTCGAAAAAACTGTATTCTTTTGAAATGGTAAAAACTTGGACAGAAGGCAGCCTGTGCCTAAGCATGCATAGGAGTGCCATCAGCTGTCCCTGGCAGTCTATTTTTACTGGAATTTGTGAAGACAGCAGATGTATTCCCGGAACTCACTCACTGGTACAATGGAATGGTCCTCACCACCACCCATTTCCCAGGGTTGGGATGCCAGCAGTTGGAATTGTTGAATGACTGATTTCAGAAACAACTCATCAAAAAGACAATCTTCACACCCCAGATCATAATATTGTACTTACAGAGAAATCCACATTAGATACCCTCTTCAAGGGAGACTTAGAGAAATGATACTACTCAATGCAGAAAATTAATAAGAAAAATAACTAGATTTATAGTGTATTCACATGCCACAGGGGAAATAAGCCAGAAGAGAGATTAAAAAGGGGTTTATTGTACGAATCATCACTTCCCTGGCTCAGCTGCCCTGACTCCGTCCCAGTGAAAACTCACCTCTCTTCTGAGCCTGTTGCTTTGGTTGCCCTAACACACGGAGTCCTGCTCTAGGACCCCTGGGACAAAAGCTGTGTCCTCTTGGAGAAAGATAAGGAACACCACCAGCTGAAGCTCCCTTGGTCTGTGCTGCTCCATTTCCAAGGTCCTCATTTGATAAGGACTGAGACAGAGCAGGCAGTCACCTTGTCCCTGTGCAGTGAGATGAAAGATCTGCCGAATGTGCAGGGCTCAAGCAACTGATGCCGGGACTGATGGTGGTGGTGGAGGGGGAGGGCCAAGGGCATCTTCTTAGTGGCTCAGCAGGGGGTGAGAGGCCTGTGCAGCCTGTCTGCCTTCTCCTCACTAGTACTGTTTCTGATTCAGCCTTGACTCTGTAAAAGACTCCATTTCAGATCACAATGCTCCATATTCTGCTGCAGTGTCTAATTATAGGACCCTACGGAAAGCTAAGTGAGTCCTCTCTAAGCACCTAATTTCCTGTCTTTAATGCTCCTTGAAATAACTTAATCACCAACAATCTTTCTTCACAGATTTTGGACCTTCCTAATGTACAAATACATACTGGAATATACTCATTTACCTTTAAGCAAATTCATGAGAAATTTTTTTTAAAGAATTATTTAATTAATTCCATTTTTTTATTCTTATTTTTAATTTGACCAGAGAGAGACAGAGAGAGAGAGAAAGGGAAAACAAGAAAGCAAGTCACCAGGTCCAGGACTCAAAACTGTGGTTGGCCATGTGAGAATCCAGTGCCTTTACCACGTCACCCGCCAGCCCCCATGAGTCATTTTTTTGAGAATCATATTTTTTAGGTAAGAAATAAAAATGGTTATAAGGAAGGTATTGACATTTTACTTGTATACAATTCACACAGGACTACAAAAATGTTGGTTGATATCTTAGCAATTTTCCAAGTAAAGCTTTAATAGCAGCTATTTTTTAAGTCTTCACCAGCCAGTGGCATGGTGGTTAACAAGTGGCTAGATCCCACGTAGCTGACTGTGCGGTTCGAGTCCTGGATCTGGTGGCCTGAAAAACAACCAAGGCACATGTGTGTACATACCTAAAATCC